CGTGTCCTCTGAACATACACATGCACATACACATGCACACATACATGCACACACATGCAAATACACACAGAGAGACTTTGCTTTTCTAAAGATTTTAGAACACTCCTGGAGAGCCAACGTGTTACCATGATACTAAAATGTTTGTCCTTTGATGAGTTTGGTATTTGAGGTATGATTTTACCACCTCTACCCTTTGCTGCATTTTATACAATGTTAGTCATACCTATATACACCATATGAAACAATAATTCCTCTCTTAGGATGTTTTTTTAGATAAAAATCAAGAACTTGCAGGCATTAACTCTGTATTGGTTTTATTAAAGGTCTCCTAAAGCACACAAAAAGGGTGAGCTATAGATATACACAACCACATGTATGGATCAAGCACATTATGCAAAATTAAAGAATCCACATGTAAAAGACAACAGCTTTGAATGTTTCCATTGTTAAGAGATCCTGGAAAAGTCAAAACTATGGTAATAGAAAAGGAAGATGTTTCTGCAAGGGTGTCTGGGTGAAAAGAATTTTAGCAAGGTATAAAAGGGAACTATTACCAAGTGAGGAAAATATTATCTGTTTTATATAGATGATTTTGTAGCTTAATGCGTTTGTCAAAATCTTTAAGCTTTTTCACATTGTCAAATGATTCTCTAACATGTGTCACACACACACACACACACACACACACACAATAAACCGGTTAACTAAAACACTACCTATTGTTGCTTCACCTAAAACTGTGTCATTAAAAGAGCAACATAAATAAAGACAAAGGTTTTAACATCATGGTAATTAAGGATAACAGCATTTAATGGCTTTTTTTTTCTGCCACAAAAAATCAGTTTTACCATTCTAGGCCATCATGCTTGTAAGAGAAGGACCCTGCTTGGTGGAGTCTTTCAGAGAAAATTATGGTAGATCCCATCCTGTTCCCTCCCTTCAACCGCTTTAGGAATCTATTTTATTTGTCCTTCTGTGTGAGAATTAAGCATCCTCCCTAGGGTCCTCTTTGTTATTTAGGTCTGTGGATTGTAGTATGAATTATATGGCTAATATGCACTTGTAAATAAGTATATTCCATGCATGTCTTTCTGGTTCTGGGTTACCTCACTCAGAATGATCTTTTCTAGTTCCATCCATTTGCCTTCAAATTTCATGGTTTCCTTGTTTGTAATAGCTGAGTAGTATTTCATTGTGTAAATGTACCACAATTTCTTTATCCATTCTTCTGTTGAAGGACATCTAAATTGTTTCCAGATTCTGGCTATTATGAATAAAGCTGCTATTTAAACTCCAGCAATCCAAATAATCCAATTAAAAATGGATTTCAGAACTAAACAGAGAACTCTCAACAGAGGAATATCGAATGGTGGAGGAACACTTAAAGAAATGCTCAGCATCCTTAGTCATCAGGAAAATGCAACTCAAAATGACTCTGAGATTTCACCTTACATCCATCAGAATGGCTAATATCAAAAACTCAAGTGACAGCACATGATGGAGAGGATGTGGAGAAATGGGAACATTCTTACACTGCTAGTGGGAGTGTAAACTTGTACAACCACTTTGAAAATCAATCTGGCTCTTTCTCAGGCAATTGGGAATAGTTATACCTCAAGACCCAGCTATCCCACTCCTCGGCACAAAGCTGAAAGATGCCCCACGATAGAACAAGGACTCCCTTCTTTCCTAAGCCCCAGCCCAACCAAGTCTTGCCTGGCCTGAGCCCTCCTCCTTTCATTTTTCATTGCATCACATCAAAGGTCACATTGCCGGTCACCTTGTGCTTTCAACTGAATCAGGAGAATTCAGTTATTTTAAGCCCTAAGTTATCCAAAGCCCACTCCCGATAATGTCGGGGTGATGTTTCATTCCCTTCCTCTGCTTACAAAGCCCCCTTTTACAGGGGCCTTTATCTGTGTGCCATTCACTTTGAACTTGGCTGGAACATTGCAACTTTATGTGTTCAGATCCCCACATACTGAAAATGAGCGAGACTATTCTGCTGTCATTGATCTTGTGACAGAACATTTCACAAAAGGCTTTTTTGTGGGAACTAGTCCTTAGGCTCTGCTCTGGTTTGAGTGCGAAGTGCCTTCCTCAGATGCCTGTGTTGGAGGGTTGGTCTTTAACTAGACAGCAGTTCTCAGCATGTGGTCTCATCCCCTCCCCAGGTTGCGTATGAGATACCCTGCATATCAGGTATTTACATTACGATTCATAACGGTAGCAAAATCACAGATATAAAGTTGCCACAAAATGATTTCTGAAGGCTGGCGTTACCGCAACCCGAGGAACTGTATTAAAGGGTAACAACAATAGAACGGTTGAGAACCACTGACCTGGAAACAATAAGTCGAAGGTAATGGATGAGGAGGGTTGGGAGTTAGTCAGTGAGTTAATCCATTGGTGGAATCATAATTTGACCATGTTGTTGGGAGATGAAGATCGACTAAGGAGAACCTAGGCCGAGGAAGTGGACGGCTGTGGCGGACCTTCAAAGGGTGCATCAAGTACCCCAGCTCTTTCCTCTCTCTGCCTAACCCACTTCTGTCTCTGCCTCTTTCTCTATGCTTTCTGCCACCATAAGGTGAGCAAATTTGCTTTATGCCTCTCTTCTTTGCCTTTCTGCAATGACTTTTCCCCTCACTGCAGCACCAAGCAAGAGAGCCAACTGACCACGGACTGAAACTAGGAAAATTAAGAAAAATAACAAACAAACAAACAAACAAACAAACACTCCTCCATTCGAATTATTTCTGTCAAGATATTTTGCTGCAACCGTGAAAACCCAAGACAAAGCTCGAAGTAAAAACGAGCCTTACCTCACAAACTATACGAGGCAAGAAGAGCAAGTATTCAATACCAGGTTAATGAATAGGTCAGAATTAGCAAGCCTCAGACTACAACAAACAGTTCAGATATTTATGTTGCTAAGATTGCTTTCTTCAATATCCCCTTAATCGTAATATTCAAATTCTAGTTCACCAATGTTAGTGGGATAGACACTTGGACTCTAGAATCTTTTGCACGTGGCAGTCTAGTGCCCTGTAAAATATGTGTCAGCAACCCTGACCTCTCCCAGCGCATGAAGCCCACATTCCACAACTGGGACAAGCAAGACATGTCTCCATTTACTATAATATCAACTGGGAGAGGGCAGATAGAGTATGGACTCCAAGGCACAATTAGAATTTGTAAAAAGTATGCACATCAGTGTGTTTATATGCATAGTACATATCTATGTGGCTCTCTGTGGATGTGTTTAGATGTGTTTGAGTGTGTAGGTATATTTGTATGTGTGTAGATATGTGTGTATGTGTATGCTCACATATTCTGCAAGAGTTTTAGGTAAAGAAATGCTAAGCGTTGGGCCTAATGGCTTGGAAGTTAAGTGTACTTATTGGTCTTTGGAAGGACCCAGGTTCAGTTACCAGCATCAAAACCATTGCTCACAACTAGTAACTACATTCCAGTAGAGCTGCAGTCCTCTTCTAGCCGCTGCAGGCAACAAGCATTAATGTGGTGTGTACACACACACACACACACACACACACACACACCAGGCACACACATTAAATAAAATGTATTTTTTAATAAAAATCTTTCTTTGAAAAAATAAAAAGGGATGGAGGGAGAGAGGAAGGGAGGAAGGGAGGAAAGACATCAAAAGGGATTAAAGTAGTCGTGATCTCAGTAGAAGCACACCTAAGTCTCAGCAATTGCGGCACATGTAATAAGAGGGGGGCCTGGCTAGTTACTGCAGTGTTGTTATCCAAGCTCGTGGGGACAGGGCAAGTGCTGTACAGACGCACTCCTCTGTAGGCACAAAATACTGCTCTACTCCTCCAGTGCATGCTGAGTTTACAACCTCACCTCTCCGCTCATATTTCCTCCCTCCAGGAAACATCCCTATGTCATCTTCATGTGATTGTGGGATTGAGGCAGGGCTAGAGCTGACGAACACCAGAAATGGCGGGTGAATAGCAGTTTTATAGAATGCGTATGTAATGTTTATAGGCCAGGAACATCTTTGCTTTTTAACTAAGCAACTTTGCTGTGCATCTCCCTATATCTTCCGAAGCTTACATCTTTCCTTCTTCCACGGAGATCCTACAATAAAATTGTATTTAAGGTATACTTTTAATGCAAACAAATATTTCTTTCTGTGCCCATTTTAATTTCTAAAAAATACTAGGAGCATGTATAACTAATGCATCTACCTTTAAGCTAACTGGCTTCAAAGAGGTAGAGGTTAAAAATCTCTGCTCATTTCATTCCCTGATTTAAAAAAATATATATGTAGATATGTGGGGGGGGGCATGCTCTGTGTGTGTATGTGGCATGTAATAAACTACTTCCAAATTTTAAAGTCCTACTTTAGAATGATAATACATTGAATACACAGAGCAGAAGTCCAATTGTTTGACAGTCAAGTCACACACATATAAACTGAAAAAAGAATAGAGATTAAAGGTTGAAATATGTTTGATCAAAATGACATCTGCTTCTATTGATGTTCTTATCTTACCCCAGGCTTACCAGTAGGAAGTACACATGAATCCTTAACCATTTTGTACAGCACTGATTCTTTCTAAGTTGACAAAGATACAGAGAAGTTTAGGGATGCTGGGATGCATTTATGGACCAATCAGTTGGGCAGCCAATGGTGTTTTGAGCTTTCATAAAGTAAGGATGGTTGATGGGAGAGATACTTGCTGCCAAGTCTCATGGTCCGTATTCAATCACTGCTACCCAAACACTGGAAGGTAAGAACAGACTCCCTCAAGTTGCCTTTTGGCCTTACATGAGCATGGTGACATATGTACTTCCTTCTACCCCACACACCTCCACTGGGCAAACAGTGAATAAAATAAATTTGCATAATCCACCTCATAGGTTTTCTGGATAGAAGTGTGAGTCAATAATCCCTTGATAAACACGTGAGGCTTAAACAATCAGACTTTCTTCTGCTAATTTCATGCACTGGGACCACTTACTGTCTCCCCGGCAGAGCAGAGGCCCCAGTTTATAAGCAGCTTCTGAATGTGGGCGTCCGGTGTCTGTAATCACTATCTTAGTGACAGGCAGATGTTCCTTATAGGAGAGGAATCCAGTGTCATTGGTCCTAAAATAAACAGGAGCAGCAACAAAATACTTCAATTATGATGATGATCATCATTCTAAAATAAGCAACGATTTTTCCCAGCACTTCTAAATGAAGACTTTCCTACTAAGTTTGGACACTTACAAAAAAATAAATAAACAAATCCAAAATTGCTCATCTTAGCATACAAAATATGGCAAGATGTTAGTATCCCTTGTAGACATTAAAGTCTAGACTACAAAAATATAACATAGATTAAGATTAGTGTACACTGGCTTTTTGAGTGGATGCCTTTCTTTCAACTCAACAGGCCACTCCCCCTCTATGGAATGCTCAACTACTGGCCTAGGTGGACTCCAGGGCAGGGTAGTCACTGTCTTTATTGTGTCCCCTCTGCTGACTTCACTGGGGTTCAGTGGACAGTTCCAAACTCATGGTCACCCAGATGGCTGTGGTGAAACCTTGTGTTCACAAAACAAAATGGAAAAAACAAAAACAAATAAACAAAAAAACATGATTGTGGGAAAGAGACTTACTTATAGGGGAGAGGAATGGACAGGAGGAGGAGGTAAGAAAATCCAGAATGCATAATATGCATGCATGCATGATATTCTCAAAAAATAAATGGAATTAATAATAAATAAATAAGAAAACAAATAGGTAGGTGTGTAGATAGATAGATAGATAGATAGATAGATAGATAGATAGATAGATAGACAGATAGATAGATGATAATAAGCTGTCCTTATCACTATTTCTAAAACAGACAAAAATAGAACAGTGGCTATATTTTTTTAACGGGTAAAGATTTTTCAAGTATTTATTTGACTGACATGGCTATCTTATTGACACGTAGCATGTACATTTTTTAGGCAGTGTTTACTGTCCGCTCCTTTTTTTCTCCTATGGTCTATTTGCACGTTGTGTGTGTGTGTGTGTGTGTGTGTGTGTGTGTGTGTGTGTGTGTGTTCTTGCTGTCTTGTACTTGTTGAGCCACTCCACATTCCTCTATACTCAAGCCTCTCTCTCTTCTCTTTTCATTTTGAGATACACTCTACTGCTTGTATATTAATGTTTTCTTGATGAATTATAAAATGCATCCATTTTATATAAGTCTACTTACATTTTATGTCATATAACACTATGTAACATCAGAAGCTCTCCATGAGATTGTTTAACACCCCAAACACACAGAAACACACACACACAAGCTGTTTTGTGGCATTGCAGAAATCTATTTTGAATGCATATTGTGAACTTCTCAATGCAACTGAACAGTGAACTTTATTTTTTCTAATTTAACACTGGGTAATTTATAATAATTTCTAGTGCTCTTCATTTCTTCTTAAATACTGGAGATTTTACCTGATGTGATTTCTTGTTATCCCTGAATATTTGTTATCCCTGAAATGAATACTTTCATTTCAGATGTTAATTTGCCATTCTGAAATATGCACTCTGTCCTTTGGAATAGTTCACTTTTATTTGCTTTAAGTTCCCTATTCACTCACATTTTTACCTCTACATCTACAAACATGCCGATAATGTTAGCTTTAAAGATTTCACTTGCAAATTTTAAAATGTGGCCAAGACTGTGTTTACAATAACCTCATTCAATGCCTTGATTTTAGATGAAAGTTTACTTTCCTGAATATCCAGCAATGTATATGGTGTTCTGGGTAATGTGGGTGATAACTCAAGAGGTACTATATTTTTGTTGTTCAGTAACATTCTATTTTTCCCATGGGCATTTAAACAGAGTATGGTTTTGTACTCCAGGGCTCCTTAGGTCTGCCTCACTCTGGCTTTCCTAGTCTTCCCTCTCAATTTGAGGACATGTCTTTGCAGTAAGATGTGAATCTTTGCCACTTCTGCTCTAAATTGAAGGATTTTCAAAGCCTATCTCAGAGACCAAACAATCCAGATCTTTTTTTCAGTAGTCACCGTGGGAATGCCCTGTTGTTTGTTCAATTTTCTCTTCATGGCTCTCTCCTTGGACCTAAAATCTCTACTCCTTCACGTGCACTTTGAAAGGAAGTTGAAGGTCCAAGGCAGGGGTTATGGGGCAAGTTCGTCAAAACCAGCTTCCTTTCATCTGCATAATATCCTACACCTCAATTTTCAGTCATTCTGGAATCCCCACACTCTGCCTCCTGATACATTTTGCCAAATATAAAAATAAAGATTATATAGTATTGCCTTAAAGTTTAAGCTCCTAATGAAAAGATGCAACTGGTGTCTGCAAAGGACAAAGAAGCTAGATTCAAATTGTAGCTTCTACCCAACTTGGTTCTCTTCTTTTAACCAATCATGAAAGGCCCTGTCTATGTTTGATTCCACTACCCTTCCCTTTACTATATGATATTATATATTAATATAATAATATATTATTATATATAATTAATAATATCATATTTAACATATGATATTATAGATATGTATATATATATATATAGAGAGAGAGAGAGAATTATCATGTTTTATTATATGTAATAAGTGTTTGTTTTCTTGTATAAAAATCCACTACAAGTGTACCTGGTGCCTTTAAAGGGTAGAGGAGATCATTAGATTCCCTGGAACTGGAGTTACAATTATTAGCTCCCAGGTGGCTGACAGGAGCTGAACTAAGGTCCTCTGCAAGAGCAGCAACTGCTCATAACTGCTGAGCCATCTCTTTGGTCTCAAATACTTATTTTTTAATTGCATTTATTTATTACATTTATTTATTTAAACTCTTTTGGGGGGAATGTGTGCCATGGTGTGTGTGTGTGTGTGTGTGTGTGTGTGTGTGTGTGTGTGTGTGAAAGTCAGAGGGAAATCTGCAGTAACTGGTTCTTTCCTTCTTCCAAGGGATCTCAGGGACTGACATCAGGTCATCAGGCTTGGCAACAAGTGTCCTCATCTGCCATCTCTGCGGAGTTCTAGAGACTTTTCTTACCATCTTCACAAAAATTGCTCACACACTGATAACTGTAATTTTAGGTGTGTAAGGATGTTATTAGCAATTTTTAACAGCAACAACAAAAAAAATAACCACTAATAGTTTCCCAGTGCCTGTAGAACACATGGCTAATTAAAACTAGTTTTTAAATATAAAGAGTTTCAAACTTCTCAGATTACATTCTGCTTATACATAAATAACCTTCCATATAACTATGTTTTTATGGACTCAGAAAAATATTATAACTATCTAGATCTTGAGTAAAAGACATGATAGTCTCTGTATAAAATTAACTAAAATCTCAATCACAGCTCGAGGTCCTTCTAGACTGCATACAGGTTCTTCTTCCATGTTGTTCTAAGAACATGTACAAGCATGTGTTTGTACATACATGCAAATATTATAAAATTCATGGACCAACCATGTATATGGCATTATTATGACCATGATGTTTGACAGGCAAACAAACATCATTTACAAGATAAAAACAATGAGTTCACCTAACAGCATCTGATCACAGAAATGTATGTACAACTTCTAGTCAAACCAGTCATGCTCTCAAATCCAGGTTGTAGACGCTTCAAAGTGCTCAGAACAGTCGACAGTTAAGCAGGACGTGTTTACCAACATCCCCCCATCAAGGCTCAAAGAATACTAGGAAGAGGGAGGAGAGGATTTGGAGTAGAGGGGAAAATCATGATCAAAATATACTGTATAAGAAAGTAAGAAAAGAATGTAACAGCCAGAGGGAAGAGAGGAGTGCTGTAGAGAGCTGTATTCAGCATGACATGGCTCTTGACTCACGGACCCAGCACCTGTAATGACCTGCACCCGATCAAGCCTGTGAACATTCCAGCAGGGACTGAGGAAGAGTGCACATGGGGCCCTGAGGAACTCCAAAGTTTCCACCCCTAACTGAGGAGCAGTTGACAGCTTCTGGGGGAAGAGACCCATCCTTGCACGGGAGTTTCCCATGTGCCAATGGACGGCTGCACACCCATGCACATGTGGAAGAGACTAACTGGTAATAGGTGTTGTTTGTTTGTTTGTTTGGTAAGATGAAGACTAAGTTGGGAGGAAGACATGTGCATGGAGAATCAGGGCAGTTAAAGGGGAAAGTGGGTCAGAACATATCGTATTGGGTAACTGTAAAACAGAGTAAGTTTTTAAAAATAAATAAATGTCTTCAGGTCCAGCTGCTTAATAATATAAAACTGACATGTAGGGTAAAGAGACGTGGATATTAACAATATAGAAGAGTAATATATGTGTACCGCCTGTGCTCAAAGACAAAGATTTCATTTAAAGTTTTTAAGATAAAAAGGACACATACATAGGATTTATTTTCTGATTAGAAAAAAATTACTCATTCAAATTCCTAAATAGTATAAAATCCCATTTTGAAGCTGTTACCCATATAACATTTGTTCTTTAAAAAAATAAAAGAACTACATGCTAAAGTAGTTGCTCAGAATTATACTACTTTAAAATCTAAAAAGCTGTACTTTTTAAGTTTATAGCCTAAATTGATGTGCTTTGGTAACTGTTTACATACTTACTGTAGAAATAGAAGACAGTACTGATATTAACCACTGAAAAGGAACTCCAGAGAATCATAGCTCTCATGTAATAGATGCTTCTGTTCTTTCATGTGATAAAAAATAAATAAAATAAACAAAATCCATGGTCCATTGTTAAAAATAATCTTTGGAAGTCTTCTTTCTTGACCTATAGAGTTAGAATGACCATACCATGTGTCATCAAAACATAATTGATGGGAAACTTACCATTCGCTTCGATCTGCATCACAGTTGCAATGATACTGAGCATCAATGCAGTTCCCTTCCAAGCCACAGGTGCACTTTTGAGGCAAAGGCCAGGAGCCTCCCCAGTAGGTCTGCGTTTCGTTGGTTCTTCCCACCCACCAGCTCCGAGGACTTCCATCTGAAAGACAAGTGAGAGGGCTGAATCATCTCCTCACATCTTAGAGCATTCTTCTTCCTTCTTTCCTTATTGAAAAGTAAAGATGGGGTGGAGGAGTGAGAGGGAAGGAAGGAGACTGAGACAGATAGAAGACAGACATGCGAGAAGAGTGACCGAGATAGAACAGGAAGACAGAATAAGTAGAAACAGACACAGACAGAAGTAGGTTGATATGATACAGTACTACTAACTGACAGATTTTTTTTAGAAGGAACTATCTTTACAAAATACTTTCTTTAAAAATCTCCTTTAAAACACCATTTTACAACATTTAAAAATATCTGCTATGCACTTATTCTTTGAATATGTGTTCGTGCCTACACGGGTTTACTTGCTTCCCATGCATGCAGGCTTCCAGAAGTCATCAGATCTTCTGAAGCAAGAGTTAGATTGCACTGTGAGCCACCTTCTGTGGATGCTAGGAACCAAATTCAGGCCTTCAGTAAGAGCTCCTCACTGCTGTGCTTGCTCTCTGCCCCCTTATTTTCAGTCTTGAGTGGATAATCTATTGTTGTTGGAATAGAAACCATCAGTCTATGTTTGATCGTGGAAGAGAGTGAGTTCCCACTTGCAACTTAAAAAAAAAATAACCTTTAAAACAAATTAGCATCAAACTATAAACTTTGGTAATTAATATGGTGAAATAAAATTAATTCTAAACCATCAAAGCATCCTGAAATGTTATATAAAGGCACTGATTTGTCTCCATATATTTATTGGCCAAAAAAGACTAGCTGTTCTGGCTGTTTATTAGATATCAGGCATGGTATAGCACTCCTTTGTCATGATTTAGGATTTATCGGGAAGTCTATATTTTCTCTTCCATTTACTGGCTTGCCTATTTATTTGAAGACTACAGAAATAATACTGAAAAATCTTCATGCCTGAAGCGAATATTACAGTAAAAAAAAAAAAAAAGTTTCCCCTAGCTAAACGCATCTCTTTCTACGATAAATGTTCAGCTACCAGCTCCTTCCCAGAGCCAAGACTAAACACGATGCCAAGGAATTCAGGCAAGTAGCAGACAGAACATTTAGTGGAGGATTTGTAGAAAGGGAGGTGAGGCATGCAGGCAATCTATCTTGGAGGAGAAAAAAAAATTCAGAGGCAAAGAATCATAGTGTTTGGAGACACAGAGTAATGGAATAACGCAAGCAACGTCAAATCGGTCAGGTCCCCATGAAGGACTGGGCATTCTCCTTTTGACTTTCAAACTTTTGTGTTATCACCACCATTTCCACTGGGACTGTAGCTTTTGCTCACTCAAACCCTACTCACCAACACAGGACTTACTTTTATCTACTATTAAGTAGCCCTTCTGTAAATGCTGACAACTTCTCTCCCAGCATTATTGCAAACACCTGCCATGTTTAGGAGAAGAACGAAAAAACGGAAATTTGGAAGCTTGTGTTACGTAAAGCTATGAACATCAATATTTCTATCTTGATTAACTCACAACTCATCAAACAGTTAAGCACGCTTGCTTCCTTTTTAGTGTTAAGGTACACTGCTTAAGATACATGCTCAAAGAGTAAGGAAATATAGGTTGGTATTCATAAAAACTAAATCATGTTTTACAGCTGCATTTTTGATCTTCCTTATAAAAGATAAATTGTTGAATGCTTTGTATATTACTTATCACTACATTGTGTGTGTATGCTGTATGTGGTGTGTGTGGTGCAGTGTGTGTGTTTGGGATATAGTGTATGTATGTGTGGGATGTGTGTATGTGTGTGTGGTATGTGTGCATTTGGGTGGGCATGTGTGTGTAAGTATGTGTGTGTATAATATGTGTGTGTTGTGTGTATGCTGCGTATGCCGTGTGTGTTGTGTATGTGTGTGTGTTCACATGGGTGTATAGTACCTGTGTGCCAGCATGCACATGGAGGCCAGAGAACCCTTCAAGAATTGGTTCTCTTTTAACAACTGTATCCCACCGATAAAATTCTGATCATCAGGCTTGCTGGCAAGTGCTTTTGCCCAACAAATCATTTTATCAGCCTTTCCTAAGTGTTTTAAAGCCATCAAATACATTTGTGTCTATCTAAGCCTTCCGAAAGAGTAACTAAATAATTTAAATAAGTGTATAAATGAATTTTTAAAAACATAAGACATATTTTTTAATTAAATAAAACCATCCTAGTTATGTTCTGTCTCCCATAGTTAAACCCTTAATCAACCTGAGTATCCCCAGAGACCATCCCTGCAGAGAGCTGAGTCACAAATTCTCATCTGCTGAAAACATATGTTCATAATACTCCACCATACTGATACTTGGTTACGTCACTGTCATCGCTAGAAACTGCGAAATCCCTGCAATCGGAGGGTCCAGGTTTAAGGCTGCCTTCCTGTTCCTCCATTTTGCCTTTCCTGTTGGGGCTTCAGCATCTAAATTGTTGTCTCTTAGTTTCTCCACCTCGGAGAAATGCTGAGAAAAACAGTAATTAGCAATCATCAGTCACCATTGCCCTCTGGTCCACAGCCTTCTGGGATTGACTGTTTTCTTTGCCAATGTGATGGTTAGTGTTGGCTGTCAACTTGTCAGGATCTAGAATCTCAACCTTCCTAGTGCTGCATCCCTTTAATACAATTCCTCATGTAGTGGTAACTCTCAACAATAAAATTATTGCCATTACTATATAGCTGTAATTTTGCTACTGCTGTGAATCATAATGTAAATATCTGATATGTAGGATATCTGATATGTGACACCCTTGAAAGGGTTGTTCAGCCTCCAAGGGGGTTGTGACACACAGGTTGAGTGATCTAGAAGGAATACTTCCAGACAAACTTGTGAAGAAGCATCTAGATTTGGAAAGTTTCTGGGCATGCTTGGCAGGCAGGTTAGCTGAGATGGAAAACCTTCAAGATTGGTGGCACCTTTCCTTGGGCTGGGTCCTTGACTAAATACAACAGAGAAAGCCAGCTGAGCACCAGCATTCACCATTGGCTCTCTCCTGTGTGGGGGTGTAATGTTCCCAATTGCCACTAGGACTCCCCACCACCATGACTGTACCCTCAAACTGTGAGCCAGAATAAACTCTTTCTCCCTTACCTTGTTTTTGTCAAAGTGTTTTATCACAGCAATAGGGAAATAAATAGAAGCAGTACAGTCTCAAGCTCCGCTCGAGTACCTTGGAAGGTTTTGCTGGTACCAAAGGTGTGAAAGCCATTCTGCTTACTTCACACCCTGCTTTGTATCACCTTTGGGGTTCCCGTCTGTTGGTTTGATTAGCCTGTGACTCACTTTTGATTTGGGTGGTTTTCTTCCCTTATGTTTCCTTGAGTTAGTTAAAGAATGAAAATTATACCTATTCGGTGAGTACATCATGATAGAGTGTGAATTGATTGGAACTGTCTAGCTATCGTCAAATCTATCAGTTTATAAAGTTACATGCATGCGTTGTTTGTGCATGCAATGCACAGTGCTTTTCTCCTAGTACATTTCAAGTATAAAATATGCTGTTATTAACTGTAGTTGCCATGCTGCGCCTGAGCAGCCCAGCTGTTAATCATCCTGTGATCAGCACCCTTCCAACCCGTCCTCCTGTTCTTAAGTAGCCACTTTTCTAGTCTCTGTATCTATGAACTTGGCCTTTTCATGTTCTATATACAAATAAGAGGATACAGTGTTTGTGTTTTTGTGTTTGGCTTATTTCCCTTTGCATAATGGCTTCTACCATCTCAAAGAGCTTCTCATGGCTACTACAGCATTAGTCATGATATCCAAGGTACCTAAGCACCTTGACTGTCCACTGGTGGTGGGCTGGGCAAAGTAAATGTGCTATATGCACAATGGAATATTAGCCAGTTAAAAAAATGAACAGAAGGGAATCCTGCCATGTGTGGTGAGGATAATCACACAGATCATTATGCGACGTGAAATAACATAAATATTCATATCTCAGATCCTGAAAATTCAACTTTATCTAAGAACGAAGGCCAGACCGTTGTGCAGAAATTATAAGAGTTACTCACATGTGATGAGAGAGCTAACATCCTGTTCTAGGCCTCTCGTTGACCAGAAACAGAAATGAGGTGGAGGAAGCTTTGATTCATCAAGAAAATAACTTCTCTGGAAAGGTGCCACCAACACAAGCAGTGCTTGGTGTAGAATGACATGCCTGACCTGACAGGCTAGAATGGAGCCCCTTTCATCCTCAGCCATTCTTTGTGATTATAGCGAAACTACAGAGCCTGGAATGTCACAAAGAATGGCCTTCGTTCTTAGATAGAGTTGAATTTTCAGGATCTGAGATCTGAATTGGAACCAGCAAGATGGAATTGAATGAACAGAAGACAAAATGAGAACTTTCTGGGAAAGAGGAAAAGGAGAAGGGAGCTTTGTAGAGAAAAACAATCCTACAGCAGGTGGGCAGAGAGTAAGTAGAAAAGAAATTAAACTGGAAGAGGAAAAGCCAGATGTCTGATATCTGTCAACTGTGCCCTCAACAACTATCTGGAATTGAAGCCCATGTTAGAATAATGTACAAGAGTCCAGACGGTGACTCTGTGGAGCATATATCTTAGATTCCTACTTTCTCAAGAAAAATATACCCTAATATTACAGCTCCAAAGCACTGGGCTGTAGAGTGTATGCAAGATGGGTCTGGGGACATGCTGTCCTTGGATCCAAGCAGAAGAGTTTGTGTGGAACACATGAGCAGAAAAAAAGGCAGTTGAACATTTGAAAGAAAAGACATCCAAGTAGAAGCAAGGCTTCTGAAGGGTTGATTTTCTCCATAAAGATGGATCTATTAGATGATTCTAAGTCATGGTAAAATGGTGAGAAGACAATTTGCTTGCCTCAGAACAATGTCATCAAAGTCTCTTCTAAGGCAGAAGATGTGATGGCCAGGCTGGTCTAGCGTTATGAAGTGTGCTAAAGGAGAAGGTATATTGCCCCAGACAGAGCTGAGACCCGTTCATGTGGATTTCTGTTCTCTGCTTGAGCAGCTGAATCCACCGTTTCTAGCAGCCTCTCCTAATTTTCAGCTATACCTTGAGGCTGGCTGTCAACAGTTCATGTGAAGAGAGAGAGAGAATAGTCACTTTGAGAAAACTAAGTCATATTTGTATTAGCTCTCATCTTTGATAAAATAAACCTATGTGGTACTTGTTCTTTAGGGGGATAAACACTGTCTCCGTTCATCTAGTATCAGAATGAAGCCTTAACTGCACAGTTATCCGATTAAGGCCGGGAGGAGAGTCAGAAAGTAATCAGGGCTTTGAACAAAGCTCGGTGTAAATTGACCTTGTACTTTTCTCCAGGCAAAAGCGTCTATGAGATTCCAGACCGTGATATGCTTGCTAAGTGGGCAGAACGTCAGTGCCTCGGTGGAATTAAGATCCGCAGGAGCTAGTTGAGCAAGCACGCAGTGCACCCCGGGAAGCGTGTCGGGTGCCTCAGTTTACTCACCTTGCTGATTAACGAGCCGTGACTTCTTGCAGTAATAGACAAGCTCCTGTTGGCAGTGCTCCGCGCGGTTGATGGAGGCCTGGAGCTGTTCCATGCTGGCCACGTACTCAAAAACCCCAGTGTGGGGGTTCTCAGAATGAGCGTTCCTGACCCTCATTAAATCGGAGCCATTGTGCTGGATGACGGTCCACGCCGTTTCTTGTATGCAGAAATGGGGGAAGAAAGAGAGGAGACCATCACTAGTCTGCAAAAGTTAAAATAAATAAAGAAAATCAAAATCATCTTCTCTCTGAGGTAGTTTCCTAGTCATTAAATCTCTCTGAGAGGCAGAAGCAACACAAATGGAACCTCAAGTTTTTCAAATAACAACGTGACTCCCCTCCCTGAAATGTATGCTAATACCATACATTTGTCATGATTTTGTTTATGTTTTGTTATTTAACCACAGCAATAAAATTATTAGGAAATCGGAATTACTGAATTTTTGTAATTATGTTCATTTAACGAAATCTGATACTCTAGCCTCTTAAAGACACATCACTTAACTTTTCTTCAAAAAAAGATAAAAAGGCTACATGTTCTAAGTGTAAAATATTATTTTTAAACATGTATAATTACATGTTACAATGTGGGAAAAGGTGCACATGATGAGTAAAGTAGCTTTTACTATGTGATGTAAAAAATAAAATTGTTTACTTTTATAGTTATTCATGTTACTAGCCAAAATGATGTCAAATGTTTAATCTCTCTTTAGCCAATATGAGTGTATATCATTTTCTTTCTTTTTAAAATTCTCTGTGTGTGTGTGTGTGTGTGTATGAGTGTGGGCATCCTTGAAGGCCAGAAGAGGGCATCAGGTACCCTGGAACTAGAACTATAGGCAGTTGTGATTCAATGAATATGTCAAATTGGGGAAGAGCAGTAATAAATTATAAAATTTCCCCCTCTGTTTAGCTAACATAGTCACAAAAATCAGCAATAGAAACAAGGGGCAGAGGGTCAAGTTCGACAGTTTCCATACCCATCACTCCCGTCGTTATCCAAATGGAAAAGTGAGTGAAATAAGACAGGAAAAAATTCAGTGTTCATTGCCTTCCGTTTGTGGATCATTATTTTCTGTGAAGTGGCTGCTGGTACTTTCATTTTTCCTTTATGTTGCAGCTTAGCATAGGCTGCAATCAGCAGGATGTTTCTCTCCAGAAGGTAATAATATGGAAGCTAACAAAATTAATTATGGGTGGCATGCAGAACAGGGTAAAGGTCATCAGACGGGGCTGCGAAGCTGGCATGCGTCCGTGCCCTTCAGAAAGTGCAGTAAAGAATAAAAATCCAAGCCTTCACTTCCAAGTTTGAAATGAATTGGCGGAAGCAGTCAATAGGCAAGGTCAGAAATCCTACAGTTTGTGCTGACTGGCCATAGCTGTTGGAAGTTTAAGGTTATAATTACCAGGAGCCTCCAGTCAGCCTGGGCTCTGTCAGCCTGGGCTCTTATTGTTCAACAGAACCAATGGCCTTTTCTTGGGGTGAATCTGCTGGTGTGCATGAAAAAGCTTAAGGCTGGCTGAGTAGCTTCCAGAGGAGCCGAACAATGAGTCTGCCTGGAGCCTTTGTTTCTGGGCCTTTAGGGTCACATTAAGAGGGACCTCTTTATAGTTCAGACTCCCTGTTTTTTTAATTTTATTTATTTATTTTTCTAAAGGGACTGAAAAGAGCTAAAGCCATCATGCATGGCTGCTATTCAATGGCAGCTCGAATAAATGTTTCCTTTAGGAAATACTGAAGCCGGCAGGTCTTCAGAGGTTCTATAAGGGATCCTATTTTCTGATACAGAATGCTACTAAGTGTGAGGTTGATAAGAAGTTGCGCTTAGCAGACCCTCTAGATCTCCAAGGCAAGGCAGACATGAAATCATCTGAGATTTTCAGCAACGGAAGGAAGGGCTCCGGCAGCAAGGTTTGGAATCACCTGAGCAGGTTTTCCCAGGGGCTGGCTTAGAGTCACTTTCCTGGTCATTCAGACATGATATGGTAGCTGAGATCTCTGGCATGCCTTTAGAAATAATAATCAGAAAATGAAAGGGCCACAGAATTTGTAGTGATTGATTTTACTGGGCACTCTCAGTTTGAGATCATTGACATTATTTCACGTGCTAATTGTGGGGTCACCAGCACACAGCTTGGCACATGCAAAGGGCTTGTGCTGAGGAAATCATCAAATGAGGAGACATGAATAGAATGGTGTGGTATCTAGGTTAGAACACAGCCCAGTAGGTCATCTCGCTTTTATTTGTGGTGGCTCAGAAGCTTCCATTACCACTGAACTGTTTCATAACACTCTAAGGTACAGACAAAAGAGAGGATGGCAAACTCCCATGAAGTTTGAACTTGTGAAAGGTCTCTGGTGGCGCTCTACTTTCAAGCTAATGACTGGGTCTGCCATATGCACAAATAGCTACCTCCATCTCTCATCTATCCATCCATGATCTACCCATCCATCACATATCTACCTATCATTTGTTCACCTGCCATTTATCAACTATCATCTATGTATTCATCTATAATTTATCGTCTATGTATCTATTACCTGTCTTATGCCTAACATATATCCATCTATCAGCTATGTATCATTCATCTATATATCTATTATTCATCCATCTATAATCTATCTTCTATCTAAAACCTATCCATCTGTCTTTTACCTATCCAGCAGACATCAACATATTATATATTCACCCATTTATCTGCCTATCCATATATCCAATCATTTATAATCTAACATCCATTCATCAATGTCTATCATCTATCCATATATCATCTACCTATCCTTTATCACCTAGATATTCATCTCTAATCTTTCATCTATCTTATCTACTCATTCACAATTGTATCAACCATCCATTTATAATCTAATCTATGTACCTATCTATCATTTCTCTATCTATCGCCAATCACACATTCACGTACCATCAATTCATCTATGATCTATTTGTCACGTACTAGCCTTCTCTCCCCTACTACTTACCTATCAGCCTGTCCTAACTGACCCGGAAGTACTCTTTATTGGGGGCCATTTCTCATAAGGAAACTTAGTAGCTTCTGCTCCTCACATCCCAGTTTCTCGCAAGCCATGACACTGAGTGCCAGATGGACTTGTGTGTGCTGCAGCTGAATCACAAGACAGGAGCCCAGACCTGTGAGACACACATCCTCTAAAGGATGACTGGCACACCTTCCCTCCCTAACGGGAGAAGGACCGTGACTCTGGGATACAGCAAATCTGTATCAGGGAAGTTACAAATCCTTAGACATTAATTACCCCCGAGAGTGGGCAGCGGACAAGCCTTTAAATCTCTCCAGCACAATTTACGATCTGTAACTTGCAAGACGAATTTACATTTGACCATCTTTCAACCTCACAGTCGTTCTGTGGGTGTGTTTGCTGTTTTGTTTGGCTGTTGCACTCGTAGCTGTTGTCAGTTCCTCGGACTTTCTTGGAGAGAATAACATTGTTTCCTTACAAGTTTTTAGTAATCCCCATGGCTAGACAAGCCACTACCATTTGATTGACAGTCCATTGACTTGCCTCCCCTGCAGTGGAAGAAGCCAGTGTGGCCTCCCTTTACACCATCAGATTAATAGCCCTAATGTGTACATGTGTTTGTTATTTGATTTCTCTTCTGAACTGGCTTTAACAGAGTACCCATCTCTTCGTTAATGATATAGTCAACAAAAATCTCAACAAAATGTGCTTTCAAGTATTTACCTTTATGCCTGTTTTAGAGTCATGCTTTTCATTTCCTAAAAATTATTCCTTGCTAAATGCAACAAGAGTTATGGAGTAAGGCGACGCAGGGCAATGAACAAATAGAGATTGCTGAAACAGGCAGAAAAATCTATGGAGTTAAAAAAAAAATAGAATGGTAATTTGAGTTTGCCAGTGTCTCTCCCCGAAGAGATTTCTAATACTATGAATTGTAAATAAAGCTACTGAGTAATTAAGGCCTTGATTTACCTGAGGCTGACTGCTATTTTTTAGGGTGATAACAGTATAAAGAAAAAAAAAAAAAAACTGCTGTTTAAGCAACATGGTCGCAAAGCTGTGTTGCCTCGTGTTTAATAGCTGAGGGTGATAGATGTGCTAAAGACTGGGAAGAGCAGGTAGGGAGTGCTGCCTTCTGGAAAGCAAGAGAGAAGGAAAGTAGGGCCAGCCGGCACACGGTGTACAGCCTTCAACAAAGGGTCCCTGCTAACCTGAACGGCTCCTAAGGAGTCACTGACGCTAAAATCTCCAACGTAAAACCAATCGTGCTAGTTGTGTGAGACCTAACACCCTTGTCTTGTTGTTATAGTAGCACTGAGGGTCCCTTAAGTGAAAGCTCTTTATTCCTACACACACACACACACACACACACACACACACACACACAAAAGGAAGTCTCCTTCCTTAATCATTTATTTAGTTGAGCAGATCAACAAAGTGGGTAAGATACTACCCCTCTGGAAGACGGGTTTAGATTACACCCTAGTTAAGAGATAAGAGAAACAATTGCCTGTTTAATGAGATAATCGCTTTACCACCCCAAAATTCCCATCCGCCAGTGCAGTCCCTATGAGCTACCATGAGGTTCTGTTGGATACGTCCGGATTTCTGTGCCGTGACTCCGAAAAGACTAACTTCCCCTTCTGGCTCTTTCTTTCAGAGGCCGGCACAGCCTATGCACTGTCTCCGGTACTTCGGGCTTTGTTTTCCACGCCTCAAGTTCTCCTCCCTGCCCAACCTCCACGCCTGCCACGGGGCTGACCTACATCCCAAAAGAGCATAGTTCTCTCATTCTCTCTCCCGATGTCCCACCTTTGAATCTGGAAAAAACTTCACCTTCAAACTCTCGCTCAGTCTGAGAATCTCGTACTTTGAATTTGGCAAAACCTGAAAGCCACAGGCTTGGGACAGCTTTGGAAGCCATCAATTTATGGGAACTCAAGCTCCCCCGGAAAAACACCGTTTTTTTTTTTTGTTTGTTTGTTTGTTTGTTTGTTTGTTTTGTTTTTTTTCTCAAAGAAACCCTGAGATTCCCACATCATTATGATAAAATCACACCAAGCTGCTTGTTAAGAAGGCAGAGATTCGAGCCCAGAAACCACTACAGTACAGCAGGAAATAGGGAGTTGAAGGCACAGAATTTCCATTTGCCAAGGGTT